TTTGTTAAAAAAAATACTTCGAGGGTTAATAACTAAATTTAAGTGACGGCAATGTGATTAAAAACCAAATGAGTTTGTTGTACTAAAAAGAAACCCAAATAAATAACATTAAAAAGGTAGAAGATACATTTAGTTGGTAAATGCTTCCCCATGGACATGAAGGCATTGATTATAATGAAACAACCATTGGAAACTTGCTGCTATTGTCATTGAGACTTCAACAACTTAATGTTTCTAATGTCTCTTTACATGAAAATCTTGAGGAAACCATTTACATGACACAACTCCGAGGTTTTCTTGACAAAGATTATCCTTATTTTGTGTGCAAACTTAATAAGTCTTTGTATTGTATGGTTTAAGCAGAGTCTACGTACTTGGTTTCAACAGTTCAGTATATTCTTATTGACTTCTGACTTTAGATCATCAAGAATTGTCACATCTATTTCATTTATTAGAAAAAATTATAAAACAATTTATATATTGGTATATGGTGACTATAATACCTTAAATTTTTTTCAAGCTAATTTTGGTCCAGGCCTGCTTATGTTTTTTGTCTTTCTATTTTCTTCTTCCCCCAGCGCCTAAGCCCAAGGACAAGGAAAGTTTGGCCTCAAACTTGTGTGCAGAGCTGATCCCCAAAAAAAGGAAGCTTGGGGTTTGCTTCCTACTGGTACTTGGAAGGAGCAAACTGGAGAGCATGAATGAGACGCAGTGGTGTTGTGCTTGATAATAACACAAAAAATGGAAGGCTCAGATACTTACAGATGCCTCGTCAAAGCGAGAAGAAGAGAAACGAAAGATGTGGACTTCGGGGTTGGGGAGCAGCGTTGACCAAGGATTTATAACAATAAGGAGCCCAGATGATGTCGGAGCAAGGGGGGTCTATGGCAGATCGAAGCAGAAAGACGAAAGGATAAGAGCTGGGGATGATGATGTAATAATCTGTAATTAGATGCAGTATGAGTATCTTAATTTTTTGGGATGGCAGTAAAGCGGAATTCTATGAAATGAATCAATTTATTTAACCCTTTTTACTGAATATCTGAGTTCCAACTGCACGATGTGTTTAGACAATGAGAGAATATAACTAATGATAGTAGGTTACTTTTGTAGTCTTAATCATGGATTAATTTTTATAGGTTTGAACTCATATTTGCATT